TTTTTTTTTTTTTGAGACAAAGTCTCACTCTGTGGCCCAGGCTAGACTGCCATTGCCTGAGCCTACCTCACAGCAACCTTAAAGTCCTGGACTCATGTGATCCTCCTGCCTCAGCTTCCCAAGTAGCTGGGACTACAGGCACCCACCATGGCACCTGACTAATTTTTCTATAGTAGAGTTGGGGTCTTACTCTTACTCAGGCTGATCTTGAACTCCGGAGCTCAAACGATTTCTCGCCTTCAGCCTCCCAGAGTGTTAGGATTAGAGGTATGGGCCATTGCACCCAGACTACAAATATCTTTAATTATGAATTATTTTGAGGACATCTAATATCCCTAACCAGATGATAACATCTTTTCCAGCTGAAAAAGTATCTTAAACTTTTTTTGTGTCCCCAAGTATTTAGCACAGCTCTGATCAGCAAATGAATGACATTCGATGCATATCTATTAACTCCTATCTCGGTGTTTACTAAAGGGCTGTATGTAATGGTCTGAAAATCTCTTTTATGTAGGTGGCTCTAAAAACAACTGAAAGATGAATGTCATAAAAATGATATTGTGCAAAAGAAGCCAGACACAAAAGAGTATTTGCTGAATCATTTCATATATAGAAAGTTAAAAAGCAGGCTGAAGGAATCTATGTGGTATCTGAAGTCAGGATTCTGGACAACTTTGGAAAGGAGGGAACGAGCAACAATCAGTAATAGCTAAGGAGGATGCTTTCTGGATGTGTGTCATACCTGATTGTCAACTGCTTGGGAATTTTTACCATGTGATAATTCATTGAACTGTACACTGACTCATGCACCTTTCTATATCTGTTATATTTAAAGAAAAGAGTCTTTAAAAATCTAAGCATCACCATAAAGTCTACATAGCTAACTCCTTTCCAAAATAACCAATTTCTTACAAACTTTGCAAATTACACTGATTTCAACACACTAAAAATAAAAGAAAATGAACTATTTTGAAATGGTCTAAGAAGAAAAAGTTAAGAAAAACCCCAAAGTTTCAAACTAGAGTTTGGTCAAGATGGTAAAGAATACAATAAGCAGGACACAAACCTAAAATAATTCTTCTATGGCAAGTAAAAAAAAAAAAAAACAACAACAACAAGCCATACCTGAACATCCAGTCGCCATTCAAGGCTATGGTAACTGGGAAGGTCTGGTGCCAATTCACTTAGAATCGTTCTGATCTCCTTCCTGTTGTCCAGATAAAGCTGAAGCAACAATTTGTTTAACTCTTCAGAGAATCCCAGAACAAATACAGAATCTTGGAAATCCAGTTCAGAAATCTATACATGAATTGAGTTTAAAGGAACATCAACCTTTGTCTAACAAATGCTAAAATGCTTGAAATACACAAACATTCGAATATGATGTCCTGAATTAATTTCTGTCTAGTAAAAGAAACAACATTTCTTTCTTTTTTTTTTTTTTTGAGACAGAGCCTCAAGCTATCCCCCTGGGTAGAGTGCCATGGCATCACAGCTCACAGCAACCTCCAACTCCTGGGCTCAAGCGAGTCTCCTGCCTCAGCCTCCCAAGTAGCTGGGACTACAGGCACCTGCCACAACGCCCGGCCATTTTTTGGTTGCAGCCATCATTGTTGTTTGGCAGCCCGGGCTGGGGATTCGAACCCGCCACCTTAGGTGTATGTGGCTGGCGCCTTAGCCACTTGAGCCACAGGCGCGGAGCCAGAAACAACATTTCTTACAGTTAATCATTGTCCACTATTTCATAATATAAGTTACTAACATATAAAAATACTTTGCTGATATGCAAAGCAATCATTTTCTTCTCCTCCTTTTTAGGAGACATGCTACAACATATGGTTTAACGGGTAAAATTATTATTATTATTATTATTTTTTTTTTGCAGTTTTTGGCCAGAGCTAGGTTTGACTGGCATATGGGGCTGGTGCCCTACTCCTTTGAGCCACAGTCGCTGCCCTAACGTGTAAAATTAGAGGCAATTCTATATTAGCTATACAGCAAGAGGTATTTATGCCAGCAGATGATTTTAAAGTCATATTGTTTAGGTATGTGTTTACGAAATCAATTATAAACCATTAACAACATCACTAAAATACACAGGACCACAGGACTACAATGTAGAGTATACTGGACCTTGATTCAGGGAAAGACAAATCAATTTCCAGAAGCCCTTACCATGAGCTTTGAGCTCTCAGTGAGAAGATATGTTAATCCTTCCACCCCATGCTGGACAGTGTCACTACTCACATTGAGTTTTCCTGAGAAAGAAAAGGAAAGATGAGCAAATAAATTACTGTTCGGATATTTATTCTTTCACTCTAACTCTCATTTAAAAATAAACACTATCCATTATTCCATGGTTTGAAGCATCCAATGAAAAATAAGGAGTTGGCCAGAGATCCTGTTGGTCTCATTCCTCTCCCTGCCAAATCCCTTCACTATCTCCTGCCATGCAAGGCGCAGATTTGTGGACACAACCCTCTACTTGAATGCGTAGCTCCTTCAAGTCTGACGCTGAATAGGAACTTGACATAGATTGACCTAAACGCAGACCACTTCTCATCACAGAGAAAACAACATTATAACAAAAGCAAACGTCTGAACTAACGATAACCAAGCATGTGCATGGCGTTTACAACTGACCCAGACAGACTTTGGTATGTTTATCAACATTTCTTAGTATTTCTGAAAGGCAACTTTACTCACGTTCATTTTACCCATGAAAAAACTGACTTAACAAAAGCTTTAACAACCTTACAGCTGCTAAGGGGACGGGCAGGATTTGTACTCTAACTGAAGAGTTAGAGTACTCTAACTAGTGTTATTCTACTACAAGGAACAAGACCCTGAAACAACCCCTTTCATCTTCCCGGGCTACAGAGAACGGCTCACAATTCCCCCAGCAGGCTGCAAGGCCGCGCCTCTCCCCTCCTTACTGGCGGCGCCTTCGTAGACCTTAGGGTTCGAGCCTCGCCTCAGGAACTCCACCGCAATCCGCCCAAACTCCGCGACCACTGTGACGGAAATGAAAAGGCTGTGAGCGGTGGCCGCTGCCTTTGGCTCCCTCCCCAGCCCAAAGAACACCGTCCCGCGCTCCCTGACCCGCGCTGTCCACTTGCGGCAGGAAGGCCAAGTGCTCCTTATGCTCCTCGGACAAGTCCAGCAGCATCTTCGCTGGCCGGCGATTTTACCCGGCAGCGCCGACGCCGCCCTCACCACTTCCGGCAACCCTGTCCTTTTGCTAAGTGGTTCCTACGCTCCAGGGTCCCCAAACTTTGGGTTCCGTCTTATGGCAGTTCTGCGCTCGGTCGCCCCCTGCCGTTGGTGCTCAGGTAGGACGCTTCTCCATTCATAAGTCATCCGTAGTGAGTGACTGCTGAGTGCACGGTGTTAAGATATTTGGGAGATGAAGAGATGTTTAAAATCTGACATGCCCCCTCACACATAATCATATCAGCAGCTAACATTTGCTAAGCACTGTTTTAGAAACTGTGCTTACATTCATTAACTCAGTTTAGAGTCCACAACAACCCTGTGAAATAGGTTCTTATTATTTCCATTCGAGATCAGGAAACCCAAAGACAAGTCAAGCAACTGAAACTTCCTAGAGCAATTAGTTTGCACAGAGCTTTTGTAGACGTTATCTTAAATTTATCTTCGTTAAGACCCTCAGTAGCCATGCCTAGTTTTTATAGATGAAAAGCCAAAGCTCTAAAGATTATGTGGACCGGGTGCAGTGGCTCACATTCGAAATCCCACCGCTTTGGCAGGCTAAGTTGGAGACCAACTTGGGCTACATGACACCCGTCTCTATGCAAAAATAAGCTGGAGGTGGTGGTGCCTGCCTATGGTTCTAGGTATTCAGGAGCCTCAGGTGGGAAGATCCTCTGAGCTCAGGAGGTTAAGACTGCAGTGAGCTTGCTTGGGCCACTGCAATTCACACTTCACACTGTGCAGCAAAGTGAGACACCATGTCTCTAAAAAAAAAAAAAAAGATTATGTGGCAAAGCCAATGACAGAGCTAAGAGAGGTCAGATACCTCCCTCACCTGCTCCAAAGGCTGAAAACTGACAAGCAAAAAGTGCTCACATGATAGTCCTAGTTATGCAGAGACCCATTCAGAGAGTCTTTTAAAATCATCATGCAGGTCCCAATTTTGTGATCCCTAATATAGAAAATGAAATGTACACATGTAAGTAATGAAATGTCTTTTTTCCCCTTTTATTAAGTCATATATACATGATCATGGATACATTCATGCATTTGTGGGGTACAATATGTTGATTTTTTATACAACTTGGAGTGCTTACACCAAACTAATCAACATAGCTTTCACCTCATTTACTTCATTACTGTGTTAAGACATTTATGTTCTATTCTTGATAGATTTGACTTGCACCCTTGCAAAATGCTCCATAAATATTTTTTATTCTAAAAGAAAAGTAAGCAATGTAAAACTAGTGGGATATTTGACATTGTGTCTGACAAACTAATGCATTAATATTTGGTTCAATGGAAAGAGTTCAATTCTCAGTGAGTTCTCAAGGTGCTCATCAGATATTTTGGTTCTAAATTTTACTCTTAATGTGCTTCATTCTTTTTGTTTCTTTGTTTGTTTATTTTATTCTGTTTTTTTGAGACAGAGTCTCAAGCTGTCACCCTGGGTAGAGTGCTGTGCTGTCACAGCTCACAGCAACCTCAAACTCCTAGGCCAAAGCAATTCTCTTGCCTCAGCCTCCCAAGTAGCTGGGACTAGAGGCACCCGCCACAGTGCTGATTCAAACCTGCCAGCTCCAGTGTATGTGGCTGGCGCCCTAGCCACCTGAGCTACAGGCACCAAGCCATTGTGCTTCATTCTTGAAAATAGTTGCTTGCAAATGTAAGTGCTGCCAAAAAGTGATGACATGAATAAAGTGTGATTGTGAAGTTAGGGATAGTTGTCTCTGAGAAAACAGGACCTATAAAAGTCCAGTAAAGAGGCGGCACCCGTAGCTCAGTGAGTAGGGTGCTGGCCATATATACCCAGGTTGGCGGGTTCAAACCCGGCCCCAGCTAGCTAAAACAACAATGACAACTGCAACAACAACAACAACAACATCAACAAAACATAGCTGGGCATTGTGGCAGGCACCCGTAGTCCTAGATATTGGGAGGCTGAGACAAAAGAATTGCTGAAGCCAAAGAGTTGAAGGTTGCTGTGAGCTTGTGATGCCACAGCCCTCTACCCAGGGCCACAGCTTACAACTCTGTCTCAAAAACAAAAGTCCAGTAAAGAAAAATGATCAATTTTTTCTTTAAGTTGATTGTCAGATTGCTCCTCCATGTCTTCCATTGGAAACTTGGCAGGTAACATATTTATGTTGACTGAAAATGGAGTTGCAAATGTACCAAAATATTAACTATTTTCTGAGAAATCTTGAAATCTGTTTTTAAATTCTTGTATCAAATAAAGAAGCAAGGCTGCATATTTTTTGCTCTTCACAGGACTGTGTTTAGCTAATGTGTCAAAATGCATAGAAGTGTTTGCCTTCATCTGAGCTTTCCATAATCTCAGTTTCATCTGGAATGCTGTTACGGCTCGAAACATTGTATTGGTAAGTTAGTTTTCACCTTGACAATGTGTGTTTCACTCTTAAATGAGGAGTTAAATCCACTAAAAATGCTAAATCTGTAAGCCAGTTTTCATCGTCAAGTTCTGGCACAAATTCAGTTTTTGATACTGTAAACAACTTGATAACATGTTGCAAATCATAAAATCTATTCAACATTTGGCCTTGACTTATCCATCTTACTTCCAAAAAGTAAATGATGTTGCCATAGTCAGCATCAATACTTTAAGGAATTCCTGGAACTGGCAATGATACAACCCTTGGCCCTTATCAAATTCATAGTCTTGATGATGATTTGCTTGATGTTATCCATTTTTAAAGCTTTTGTACATAAATTTTCTTTCTTTTTTTTTTCTTAGAGCCTCAAGCTATCCCCCTGGGTAGAGTGCCATGGCATCACAGCTCACAGCAACCTCCAACTCTTTGGCTTAAGTGATCCTCATGTCTCATCCTCCTAGGTAGCTGGAACTACAGCTGCCTGCCACAACACCCAGCTATTTTTAGAGACAGGGTATTGCTCTTGCTCAGGCTGGTCTCAAACTCCAGAGCTCAGGCAATCCACCTGCCTTGGCCTTCCAGAGTGCTATGATTACAGGCATGAGCTACCACACCTGGCCCATCTGTCCATTTTTCTTTTCTTTTTTCTTTTTTTTTTGAGGCAGAGCCTCAAGCTGTCCCCCTGGGTAAAGTGCTGTGGCATCACAGCTCACTGCATCCTCCAACTCCTAGGTTCAAGCGAATCTCCTGCCCCAGCCTCCCAAGTAGCTGGGACCACAGATGCCCGCCACAACACCCGGCTATTTTTTCGTTGCAGCCGTTATTGTTGTTTGGTAGGCCCCGGCTGGATTCGAACCTGCCACCTTAGGTATATGTGGCTGGCGCCTTAGCCACTTGAGCCACAGGCGCCGAGCCTTAATTAATTTTTTTTGGGGGGGTTGCAGTTTGGCTGGGGCTGGGTTCAAACTCACCACCCTCGGAATAGTATCTTCATCTACTCACTGAGCCACAGGCACCACCCCTTTATTTTATTTATTAATTTTTTAACATATTTTTTCATATAAACTATTTTCATATTTAGAAGTTCAAGTTATATAAGCTGTTATATTTTAGCATAATTAATTCTAATTTTAATAAGAATTAAGCTAAGAATAAATGTCCCAGAGTATCTTGTGTATGTCAATAATAATGCTTTAATAATTGGATAACATAAATACATGCAGTGTTAATGTCACTTTAAAGTATCTTACTTCCAGGGCTAACATGAAAGAATAAATATTCAGTAGTTTTTCAGTTGATTCTGGCAGGTAGCAAGCCTTCATATCAATCATCTTCTCATGCTCACATTCTCTCTCATCTTTCTTTTTTTTCTTTTGAGCAGAGTCTCATTATGTTGCCCTCAGTAGAGTGCTGTGCCATCACAGCTCACAGAAACTTCAAACTCCTGGGATTAAGCGATTCTCTTGCCTCAGCCTCCCAAGTAGCTGGGATTACAGGTGCCTGCCACTCTTTCCCCTTTTCTTTTCTTTCCTCTCCCTCTTCTCTTCTACTCTCTTCTGTAGACAGGGTCTTCCTCTGGTGCCTGGACTAGAGTGCAATGGTGTGATCACAGCTTGTTGCGATCTTAAACCCTTAAACTCACAGGGTCAAAGGATCTTCCTCCCTCAGCCTCCTGAGTAGCCAGGACTTCAGGTGCACCACCACACCTAGTTTTTTTTTTGTTTTTTTTTTTTAATAGAGACTTGGGGGATGGGAGATTGAGGGGGTGGGGAGGAGGGTCTCACTGTGTTGCTCAGCCTGGTCTGCAGCTCTTGGCCTAAAGTGATCCTACGGCTTGGCCTCCCAAAATGCTGAGATAACAGGAACGTGCCACACCATCCGGCCTCCTCTATCTTTCTACTCCTCTCCAGTTCATCTATTTTTCTTTTCTTTTCTACCTTCCCATATTTCTTTCTCCTACTAGCTATTCCAGACCTAGAATCTTTGCATAGGGTATTTCTTTGGCTGTGTTTCAATTCTATGTACAATATTATCACTCCTTGCATGGAATCACTACTAAATTTATTAGCTATCAAGGGGACAATGGCACGGTGACAATTCTCACTCACATGAACCGCCCCCTCATTTGACCATGGTTGACACTTAATGCAACAAATTAGCTCCTGAATTTTTTTCATTATTTTGGTTCACTTCTCCTATTATGTTAGCAACGCATACAGAAAAGAGTACAGATAAAAAGTTACCCCTTATTGAATTTTCTCAAATTAAACCAGCCTGCTACTCCAAATCAAGAAATCCAGAATCTCTGCTGTGCCCCTGTGTCCCCTTTCAGCCATTACCCCTTCTTGTTTCCTCTACATCAGCATAGCACCTGTACACCTGCTGCCTCACAACATCTCCTTAGCATCATCCATGTCTTTTTTCTTTGTGCCCAACCCCATAGTTTCTAACTAGAAAGATTTATTTATTATTTCAAAGGATTAAAAAAAAAATGAACTGTAGATGTCTTGGCGCCTATAGCTCAGCGAGTAGGGTGCCAACCATATAGACTGAGGCTGGCGGGTTCGAGCCTGGCCTGGGCCTGCTAAACAACAATGATAACTTCAACCAAAAGATAG